AACAAATTTGACCTAATCTCCGGATTTAGAATGAAGTAGATCAAAAAGATTGTTTAATGAATGTGAACATTATATGGATATATATATCTTCAGTACAAATTATAAGTATTGTGATGAAAAGGATACAAGTTTTGTTTCAAAAGCTCCTGGGAAGAGTTCTGAAGAAATTTCAACAGTCTAATATTATATAACATCATGTTCATGTGTTAACTCATGTTTTGTGCTCAAACGAAAATTGAAATTCGACGAGTTCTAGAATAACATGTACACGTTGGTCTTCGCTGAGCTACTAACAAGATCAGCAATACAAAAACACTTTGACAAATAGAAAATGAAAGTAGGCAAAGAATTGTGGTCTGAGCGCAAGTGATTTGAGGATATAGTTTTACTGATATATTTGTTTGTTTCAGTTCCTTCCCCTTGCCTGTATCCCTAGATCTGTATGCTGTACACACCCCTTTCTTTCCCCATCAGTTCCGCGCTATCTCAAGGAGACAAACATGAACATATCGCAGTCTCCCAAAATACACACACATACACTACACGCATGCATCTTGCACACATGGGAGGCCGTCCTTAAATGACCTTAGCTGTTAATAGGACGTTAAACAAAATCAAACAAACAAACAAATCCCCAGGGTTGACTGCTGTTTGTAGGCCCCAGAACCATCATATGAACCTATAGCAAGCACTTTCTCCAGATTTTAAAGCACCTAATTGGGTAACATATCCCAACTTGGTTCGTTGTTATTATCCAGGCGATTACACTCTGTTAGCTGTAACTTGCTTTCTACAGATAACGCCACACTGGAACTCTGTCGAGCTAATGATTAAAACTTTTATAACGATGTTACGTAACTACATTACAAAATTCAGAGCTTCATTTTTTTACCCTATATATCCCTCAGCTGTCCTTTTAAACCAGACATTCTGATAATCTAGATAGTCTCAACATCTACTTTTTTCATCAGTTGTTAACATTACTTTAATTACACATCTACCCTAATCAAACGAGATACTTTAGATAATTATCTGTTCCTCTCCCCTGGTAAGTGATCATGTGTTGATGTTCACACATTCTACCGATAGTTAAGACATTTAAAGCTTGATACTTATTTAATTACATAACCAATAAATATACTGTATTTTAATGGCTTAAGTTCCACCAGATGTTAAAAGAACTTGATGGAAATCTTAATTGAATTGATTAAATCGAAGTAAAAGTCCAACGATGGTTAATTCTTTGGCAATATCTGCAGCGAAATCGAAATCGCACCTATTACGCTGTGGCGCGCTGTGGGCAACACATTTTTGACTGCCTGGGTGCCGAGCCAGCAGTGTTGTAACCCTGTGGAGTGTGGTAACAATGCCAGCTGTATATAAGATAAGAAACTCCAGCAAACTAATGAGCCAGCCTTGATAAGCTGGGGTCTAGCTGATAAAAACCGGCTAACACCTGATTACAAGCCTATACAATACACAAGTGTAAATTTTATTACCCAACAGAAAACTATGAAAATGTCGTTTTTTAACAAGCTAAGTACCTTTAAACCTAAATTTTAGAATGAATTAAGAGGCTAATTATTTAATTTAGTCGATATTGGAGACAGTGTGACCTACAAGTACCTACACTATTAGCCATGTAATATAAGCTATAGCTAGGAGACCTTCACCCTGTCTAAACATAACCCTGTATATTTCAACCAATAACCTTCACCCTGTTTTTAATCAATTCGGAACCCTGTGTTAACCAACCTGGTCTTAACCAATCTGTGTTTAATCTTGAAACCTGAATTATTTGGCAGCCCAGGGGTTCGTGTTTAAGTTCTAACTCGATATTGCTAGGATCTGGATGCTGGATGAACATTCAAAGTACATCACTGTACGTAACAGAGGAGTCCTCAAAACTCCAACTGCGGCAATAGAAGAAAAAACGAAGTCCTAGAAAATTCAGACAATCAACTCAAAATATTCCCTTTATTTAAAGCAGTTCTGAACAGGAAAAGTTTTATTTTTATCTAGAAGCCTACTATGACTAGATGACTTTAAATTACAAAAGTTTTAAGACCAAAGGACAAGTTGAATTAATTGGATCACTATATATAAATAAAACGTGGAGATCTAGACTAAGTATCTAACAAGGGAAAACATTAAATTGTAATAGACCAGGAAAGGTGTAATTTACACCACATGATAATGGTTCTAATACGATATCTGTTCAATAATCCAAAGTGTTTATGATAGGAAAGTAGGAGTATTTCAAGTTTCACTTCCTGCAGTGGCAAGGATTGGTATAGAACATTTAACAGTAGCTAGCTCTGTGGTGGCCCAGAATCAGGATACATGATCAGCTATTTATTCATGTCTGGGCAGAGCTCAGTGTCCTGTTGGATCATAAAACCCTCATGCTGGCGGCACCGGGTATACCAAGCAAATACCTTTTTCTTTTATTTTCATGAAAAATATTTCACCTACATTGAACTGGTAGCTCTGCCGATAAAAATATAATGTGATACACGTGGAGTCCCTTATGTAGAGTTTACTGCTACACAACCTGCCTGGCTATGTGTAGGATGCAGATGACTTTTACTACCACGCATCATTACCTTCTCCTGAACCATGTTTACAAGCTGTTTGACTATAATTAGGCAAATAAGTACCGACATGTGTGTTAAACAGCATTCTTTATGTGTGACAGTGTAATGTTTTACCTATACTGAATAAATGGGGAACATTAAGGTTGAGAGTTCCAGTGCCCTATGTAATATTATCTCCAATGAAGGAGAGTTTCATATTTTTTTCACTTAGAGTCACTTGCCTTTACTATAGCAAAGAGTTAAATGATTATTTTTCTTTTTTTATGAAAACACCTCTGCCAGGGGGATTCAAACTTGATACCTTTAGATAATTGAGCATGGAGCTTAATTAGGCCAAAAAATAGATTTATTAGCCATGGCAAAGTTCACAGCCACTCATTAAAATGTACTTTCTTCCTGTCCTGGGAGTCTGACCCTACTCTTGACATAGCTATTGTAACGTGTGGAAATGCATTGTAAAGTTTGAAATAAAGCATAATATCGATTCAAGAAAATACAATGAAATTATTTGCCTACCAACCTTATCTATTTTTTCAGTCATGTTTTTTTTTGGCCTTATACTCACTCGCTGTGTGGGCATACTATTTGTTATGTCAAATTTTTTCTGCAACATGGTACTCAGATAATTTCAAAATGTTTTAACTCCGTATAGAGGATGCAAACAGAATTGATTTTGTAAATGGTGGAAATAAAATAATTTAATATGGGCATGGCATTTGAGGGCCTGTATACAGTAGAAAATTGGTGGAACTCTATCTTACACAGCCTAGTGTACCAAGTTCTCCACCTGTTTGTTTAATGTATACCAAACCTAGTGAGTATCTATATATATATACAGCCTAGTTTATCTATGATTTACATATGCTTTACATATCCCAAAGACAGGTCGCTCAGCTAGACAAAATACTGGAGCCTTAGATCTAAAGGGAACCCATTGTTTTACGAGATACTAGCGTATTTCTCTTTGATAACGCCGACCCCCAAATGACAAATCAAATAATGCATTACTACTTCAGGAGACACAAATCTACAACAATATATCTTGTATCTTTTTATTTTAATACAACAGAAAGGCCGTTCATTTATCCCAGACTTTAAATATGACCGATTGTTCCTGCCCTTTGTAATTGATGTGAAAGACATAGGAATCAGGTTATGTTGTGTCTGTATAGTGTGTCCCTGAACTCATTTAGGACAAAAAATATCAGCTGTGAATGACAGCTGACCTACAAAATGACAGATGACCTAAAACATTGTCAGCTATTTACAATTTTAGAAAATCCATCAATGAATGAACAGATATATTAAATCAAAACCAAAATTAGATTTATATTGTCCAGTACATTTAGAAAGAAAAAAAAAAAAAATCTAAAAAAGGACTGCAGTGAACAGGGAAAGTTTCTAGAGAAATGTAAAACTATAAACAGTCACATCGACAAACACCTTTCACGACCCTGTTTAGTGTCACAGAAAATGAATGACAGTTACCCGCCCTTTGGTCACCGATAACATGTATGAAAGGGCACTGCAGACTCAATTCACAGCCATAGAAATACAGAAACCCGAAACCCTTTCACTGCACAACTCGAGATAACTTATCTACAAGCAACCGTTGAAAATAAAACTGAAATACACTGTGGCACAAAAATTAATAAATTTATAAATAAATTTTGAATTAATTAATATGATCATCAATGATTACACATCTTGTAGGTCTTATATGTGTTACTTTGAAGTGAGGAAGCTTAAAATCCTTATGCAGCAGAACACCAATTAAGTGCTCTTGACATAGCTGAAGAGATAGAAATTGATTCAAGTATTTCCAATGTAGAGGCTTGTATTCGGAGTCAATGACATGACCAGTTATTCATTAGGGTGTCGGCAAAACAACAAACACACTCCGAGACTATAGGTGATCAGACTAGCAGCAGCCTGTAGACCTTTGGAGAGTTCTTTATTAACAGAACCAGACACCCTTGGGATATTGAAAAGCTATCTGAATACTTCCTGGACCAAAGGTTGACCTCAATAAAGAAGGGAATTTATTCCAGAGCGATTCTCCCCGTGACCCAGACTCCCAATAAACCTGCTTTTATCACCCATTCAGACGAATTTCATAGAACTTAACGCTGAAATTCTCGCCAGATCAGGATATATGACATGTCAAAATATCATTAAAAGAATTCAGATATATAGTTTGCTCATCATATCGTCTCTTAAAACTTTAAACTTAATGGCCATAAAGCTTAATTAACATCACACAAATGGATTTATCGTGTAATTGAATTTTTTGTTTCTTCAGAAAGATATTTCACAACATTAAACCTGAAAATTAAGTTATGATATTAACAAATGCACTAAAAACCACAAAGAATTGAAAAGAAATAAAATACATTAACTCACCTTGTAAGAAATGATGTCTCCCTTGAATGCATCAGAAGGAATCGCATAATTGAACATTTTCCCGATAATTGCTGAGCTATCTGCTATACCCCAGTTCAGAGCCACAGGGACTTTTCGCGATCCTTCATCCAAGGAATTGAGGAGGCTATCGACGTCCACTTTCATGTTTTGTCCAGAGCACATACCAAGTATGGCCAGTATCACAAATACAAATAATTCCATTTTGATTGATACACTTAGTGTCCTTGTAATATTTCCTCTCTGCTTTGAAATTTTCTGCTGGCAACCGCACGACTCGCCAGCTACATCCATTGCTGAGAGCCAACACTGGTTAATATAGGAAATATTTCCCTTTGATAATAATTTTTTGCTTCTATTATTATTCATAAAAATATGAGATCCACCTTATGACCTTCGGGATGAAACATTCGATAGAATCCCACCACTTCCTGAAGTATCAGAACCTCGGTGAACAGAAGTGTTCCTGTGTCGTAAGGCGCTTGAAGGTCGGAACAGTCTTCCAGGAGAAATCTCAAAGCTCCTCCCTCATGTTAATCCACCTGTAAAATACAAGGTAAGCGGATTATAGACATGTACACCTACGTTGATGTTGTTTACCTCCCGCCATTATAGCCGCTGGAATGTCCACTGATCAGCTTATACCTCTGGCCTAATGTGCCATTGTGACAAATTAAACACATTACTTAACCCAGGATAGAAACATGCCCTATCATTGCCACTGTGATAAATCCTGTTATTAGCCCTTTCCCCAATCCTCTGATATCCCTCTTATACCTATCATTTAATTCTCCTTTCCTTTTCATTATAATTAGCACCTGTATTGTCATCGCGGACAAAATAAAATGACATGATAGAATATCTCCGAAAAAATGTTCCTGAAGAGATAAATGTCACATTAGAAAAAGTCAATTCTTATTAGCTGTATAACCGTGGCGGAGATTATGATCTAATAATGTTTACAATAGATACATATGTTTGTCTGCCCAACTCCACAGTGCTCTATAATACCTGTCCTTATGCTAGAACCAGTTCCCACAGGCTAGACTCCATAACTCAATGGCAAATCTTTGATAACGCAAACAGGAATATTGCATGTAGACTTGCATGACCTATGGCTGACGCAGGGTAATAATCAACGGGAGAAAATTATCACAGAAATAATCGGTTTGACCTGTGATAAAAGTCAGACATGTTTTCCTCATACACCAGCACCGACTCACACTGAGTCACCACAAACTGAGATTTTAAGTTCAACCCGACATTTGAGGTTCAACCTGACAACCTGACATTTACTTGTGTTGACAAGTTGAGACTAACCTCAGCCCCTTTCTGACCACAAGCCAACATAATCGTCCATGTGCTAGAAAAAAAAGCCCATCGGTATATCATCCCTGGTGTCACAACACCCAGTAGAAATGATGACTGACCTTACCAGTCCTAATGTTACCACAGTACTCGGGGCCAGCTGTACTGTTGGTGTGGGGGTCCTTAGGGGCAGTGCTGGTCTACGAGTGGCTGTTGTCACCTCAACGCCATTGATACCATACACTTTTGCCTCCAGCACTACTACACACTACAAACACACCGGCACCAGATGTTCGCTAGAGGAACACAGACTAGCTACATTGGTCCCACCAGTCAAAAAAGGAAATACCATATAGTCATGGTTACCACAGCAATGCAATATGGGAAACACAAAACACTACATCATATATACAAATTCCTGTTGGTGTAGAGAGTGTGAACAGGGTTGGCTGTCTGTATCATAGCCAGCCAGAGACAGAAACAGGACAGGGAGCTGGAGGAGCGACACAGAAGTAAGGGCGGGTAAACGAGGGAGGGGGCTGGGCCACCGAGACAGAAGTAAGGGCGGGTTAGGGCACTGAGACAAACCAGGGAGGGGGCTGGGGCCTTGAGACGGAAGTAAGGGAGGGTTAGGGCACCAAGACAGAAGTAAGGGATGGTTAGGGAATGGGCAGGGAGCTGGGGCACCAAGACAGAAGTAAGGGAGGGTTAGGGCATGGGCCGGGAGCTGGGGCACCGAGACAGAAGTAAGGGAGGATAAGAGCATGGACAGGGAGCTGGGGTACGGAGACAGAAGTAAGGGAGGATAAGGCATGGACAGGGAGCTGGGGCACGGGGACAGAAGTAAGGGAGGATATGGCATTGACAGGGAGCTGGGGCACCGAGACAGAAGTAAGGGAGGGTAAGAGCATGGACAGGGAGCTGGGGCACGGAGACAGAAGTAAGGGAGGATATGGCATGGACAGGGAGCTGGGGCACCGAGACAGAAGTAAGGGAGGGTCAGGGCATGGGCAGGGAGCTCGGGCACTGAGACAGAAGTAAGGAAGGGTTAGGGCATGGGCAGGGAGCTTGGGCACCGAGACAGAAAGGAGGGGATAAAACAAGGGTCAAGGGAGCTAGAAGCATGCACTGAAACAGAATCAAGGGAAGGACACAGAAACATGGGGAGGGGGAACACATGGGCTACTATTAACACCAGAAACACGATATAAAATTACTTCCTTACAACAAATTCCTTCTCCCTACTATCATAAATCCGGACACTGCCTGCTTTAACCTTCTGCAAAGTTCAAGTCACCTGCTATGAACAGGAAATTGTATTTTGAAATTTACATATTTTTAATGCTCTACTGTCAACTGCTTTGACTATTCATAAAACAGCTATATTGAATGGACAAATTCCCGGGCCTTGGTCAGCTTCCCAGTACACCCTCTACACCATTACATTGTACACACTGTGATAACTCTGTCCCATCTCTCTGTCCACTGAAGCTGTGCTGGGAGAAAGTGAAGAGAGGACTGAAAACCCTGCAAGCAGTGTGAGTCTAGATCTTACCGCCATCATAGGGTTTATTCGCAATCTGATATGATTAGAAAACCAACGCCTATCTCAGTCACCCGCATTCTTTTCCTATTTCTATTGGTGCCCTACCTCCCTGGTGATGATGATACAGAAACTCAAGTCTTGCGAAATAAATGAAAGTTCTTCGTGAATGACTAATATTTGAAGATGTTTTCAAATTGATTGTTATCAGAATGTCTTGAGATTTGTGTACAAGGTGTGAGATTAGATTGGAGAAGTGACACGCTGACGAGATGTGCCTCCGGGCTGCCACGGTAACACTTCCTGGTCACATGACTGCTAAGACTCCTTGTAAATCTATCATAGTCTCCCTTTTAACTGTTTTCAGCCCAAGGTGCAACCATAAAGCATGGTAAACAGTTTTATAACATCTTATCATTCCTTCCTTCATTCTCCAGTTTCTTTTATTCATTTCAAATCTGTGCAATACTGATTTTCATAAAAAGCAAAACTGAAAGTTTTCTTACGAAATTCTCCACTTACTTTTAATTGATTTCAGATCTGCCCACAAAACTGATTAATTTATGCAATGTTTAACTTCCTTCAAATCTGTGTGGTATTGATTTTCAAAACAAAACTAAGGAATTTACGCAAAGATTTCAAACAGTCAATATAAAAAGTCTGCGACAGATCTTGATCATTATAATTAATTATACCCTAACTGTGAACAACCTTATATATTGCACTCAACATGTACGAACATTAGTTATGAAAGCATTTCAACTACCGCCATCAGACATCGCCAAACTGTCTGGATTTAATACAACACCCACGTTTCGTTTGACATTTCCAACAGTTAGGACAAAAGCTCGGTAATTATCCTAAAACTGCTTCATTACATAATATAACAAACTACACTGAATTTACATTACAGCTAACACCGCCACGCCTAGTTCATCGTACATAAAACCAAGACGCATGGCAATCTGTTTGTACATGTCATATACTCCAAATCTGGTGATGTGTCCTCTAACATCTAAGTATTGTGGACTAGCAGTGTATTTGATAAGTCTGACAGCCTTGAGAAGCTGTAATGGGCAGCTTTTGAGGATTACTCCGCCAGCAGTGCTGATGAACCAGTGATTCTTAGACATCTTTAAAAATATCGCATCTCCTTAGAAAATTCTACAGCGCATGTTCTAATTATTTCACCTTTTGGTTTTTATGAGTGATGCAACCATCGAGACGTTTGACAGAGCCCAAAATCCACATAAATCTTGCGAAAATTAGTTACTTATCAAATGAAACGTGATCCAGCTCAATAGTTTTTTTACGACTCGGAATAAAATCTGTTCTGACAATGTAGCTATATAGGTATCATATGCGTCATGACTACAAAATCGACTTTTACATAAACTGTATTATACATTTTTTCACAAACTCCCACTGTTGGAGCCGGTTGGCTGTGGGCTAGGTCAGTATAAATATTTGTCAGAACTGACAGTGAACGCTCCAGACTACAAATACTCTTCTCTGATACCATCAGGGAGGAACGCACTTCTTTCGTTAAACCATGACACCACCTCCATCATAATTAAAGCATTGTGCATCAAACAAAATGAACGTTAACAATCCCAAATAGTTTGGAGAATCTGTTTTCCTCTTTATCGTTCGACACTAAATATACCACGAAAAAGGTCATCATTGTCTTCTTGATTACATTTTTGAAAAAATAATTTGATAAGATTCATTATTTTGGTAAGTTTTGTTTTGTTTTTTAACTTACAGTAAAGTGTACATACCAAAGCTATGTTGTCTATCTGATGATGCATAGACGAAGCATATTAATAACCAGAGACCTATTAGCTATTATATACAGGAGTAGGATGAGAGTTCCTACCCAAATGAATTGCTGGACACAGGCTGGCCTCAGAAAGTATAGCAACTAAAACTAGAACTGGGCGACTTAAATCGGGTAGAATTGATATGTTATTGGCTCAAAAATATTTACTGGTCAAGCATGAGAATTAACAAAATTTCACAGCTTTGATCCTTAAATGCTGATCTTTTAGGTGTGTTCTATCTCTTTCTGTATTTTAACAACGCGGCCAACAGAACAACGCAGCCAACAGAACAATGCATATTGTTCCACTAGACTGAAGTTTTCACTTGCCCAAATGAACGTTTTTTGGAGGCTGGCGTCTGTATTTGCCAACAAAATGAAGTGTAAATATACATGCTGCTGTTCATGAAAAAGCTAATTTATATCTGTAAAGATGACATCTTTTCCCACAACAATGGCTTCAATGTACAAATATTGACCTGCTGACAATACGTTTTGCTAATCTGCCTATCAGTGTTTGGATCAGGCTAACTATTGATTGAATGTTTTCGCCACCTTGACTTTTTCACCCACAGATTCCACACAAGTGCCGCTTCCTATTGATCCCCGGAGATCTGATAGATCTGTGGTCACCACAATGGTCATCCTCTGTACCTTGTCTAGGCCACATATGGCTTATTGATAAAAGATGACCACTCAGGAGGCCATAACAAGTGGTCATCAGCCATGACAAGTGGTCAGTAATTGACAGTGGACAAATGGTCAGGACAAAGATGCATATCTGCACATCAAATATTAATATGATTCACATAAATATCGCGGTGATAACTCACCAAAAACACACGCCAAAACCGATCCCGCTCAAACAA